AAAACTATTCGATACCAATACCTTGTCATGTGCTAAGCTCACAAAGCAGTATTCTGCTTGGTTTATCCACGTCTACGCCACACTGGAGCGCGATCTAACGCCTGTGAAGAGAAGGCTGGGTGACGGTGAGCGTCCACAGGGAAATTCATTGCTTTGTGAATGTGTGTCAACATTCCGTTCTCTTTTCTCCTTTTGCTTATTAAGGCTCGGTAACTAAGATAATACATTTGACCTTGTCGTGGTGTTTTGATAAGCTCACTCGAATTCGAGTCGAACGGGTCCGATAGCATTCTTTATTGGCAACGTAGATCGTGCTCTTTGGACATCGGTAAAACCGTGCGCTAATCGATGCTGTTCACCTAGAAATGATCCTAGTAATATGAGACCCCTGGTGTTCGTCTGAATGTGCTTAAGCACCAAGAATGCTGCTGCTCAGAAGCAATTGCTGGCAGCGATTTACCACTAGCATTGAAGCGCATCAGCGGTCGCCCGGCTTTAACTCGTGCAACAACCACATTGCGCGCGTCATGGCAAAATGGAAATATTTGTTTTATCACACGCTTCAATTCTGCATTATATTTGCTTAATGCCTTATAACATATCAATTTAAATATTCTTTTTCTTTGTATCAGTACAATTGAGCATCGAACCATAAACAACTTGTGCTAAACTAAATGGCTGACATGAGCCACTGAAATAGGAAATTGATTAGACGTCTCACAGCACTGTTTAGATTTATATGGCTACAGAAATGAATAGTAAGCTATCATCACGTTAAACAAATCATTTAAACACTATATGTATTTGCATGATCAAAACCACTGCCGTAGATATATAACAACTGACAAGAATCACAATAAAGAGTTGTCAAACGTCAACTTCCTCTGAGATCGGCTACGCCTCTTGACTCGCATTGCCGCCGATGCACCTCCATACGCCTCTCGCTCATTCCTCAATCCACCTCGCATTTCACAAGCGCCACCACCTCCGTACACTCACATCATGTCGTCCGTGGACCTGAGCATCCTGCGCAACGGCATTCCGGCCGAGCTGCCGGTGCACCCGGGCAACCACCCAGACCCGACGTTGCCCAAGGCTCCGCACCGTAACATCGACGGTCTGTCCAAGGACGAGCTGGTGCTGGCTGTACAGAACGCACTGCGCTACTTCCCCGAGAAGTTCCACGCCACACTGGCGCCCGAGTTCGCGCAGGAGCTCAAGGACGAGGGCCACATCTACATGCACCGCTTCCGTCCCGTGCAGTACGAGATGAAGGCGTACCCCATTGACCAGTACCCGGCCAAATGCAAGCAGGCGGCCAGTATCATGCTCATGATCATGAACAACCTTGACCGTCGCGTAGCACAGTTCCCCAACCACCTGGTCACGTACGGTGGCAACGGCAGTGTCTTCCAGAACTGGGCACAGTATCTTCTCGCCATGCGCTACCTGTCCGAGCTCACGGAACAGCAGACGCTCGTCATGTACTCTGGTCACCCCATGGGTCTGTTCCCTAGCCGTCCGGCGGCACCGCGTATGGTGGTGACCAATGGTCTCATGATCCCGAACTACTCCACACGCGCTCAGTACGACAAGGCGTACGCTATGGGCAACACCCAGTACGGTCAGATGACGGCCGGCAGCTACTGCTACATTGGTCCGCAGGGTATTGTGCACGGTACTACCATTACCGTGCTGAACGCTTGCCGCAAATACCTGCAGCGTGAGAACACCCGCGGTACGGTGTACGTGTCCTCGGGTCTGGGCGGTATGAGTGGCGCCCAGCCCAAGGCCGGTGTCATCTCCGGTGTCATCTCGGTGACAGCGGAGATCGACGAATCCGCAGTGAAGAAGCGTCACGAACAGGGCTGGGTTGACGAGGTCGTGAGTGACCTGGACGCCTGTGTCGCTCGTATCCGTGAGGCTAAAGCCAAGGGCGAGGTGGTGAGTCTAGCTTACCACGGCAACGTCGTCACCCTCTGGGAACGTCTCGCCGATGAGGCTGAAGCTACGGGCGAGATGCTCGTGGAGCTGGGCTCGGACCAGACCTCGCTGCACAACCCGTTCAACGGCGGCTACTACCCGGTGCAGCTGTCGTTTGAGGAGTCTCAGCGCGTTATGGCTGAAGACCCAGAGCGCTTCCAGGAACTGGTACAGGAGTCTCTCCGTCGTCACGCTGTTGCTATCAACCGGTTGACAGCCAAGGGTATGCGTTTCTGGGATTATGGTAACTCGTTCCTACTGGAAGCCCAGCGTGCCGGTGCTGACGTGCTGCGCCCCGGTGTGAAGCCCGAGGAAGCTGCTGTGTCTACCACTGCCTTTAAGTACCCTAGCTACGTGCAGGACATCATGGGCGACATTTTCTCGCTCGGTTTCGGTCCGTTCCGTTGGGTCTGCACGTCAGGTAACCACGAAGATCTGCAGAAGACGGATGCCATTGCCGCTCGTGTGATGCGTGAGCTGCTCGCCGACCCTGAAGTGCCCGACCGTGTCGCGGCTCAACTGCGCGATAATTTGCGTTGGATTGAGGCTGCCGAGGAGAACAAGCTGGTCGTGGGTTCGGAGGCGCGTATCCTGTATGCTGACCGCGTGGGTCGCGGCACGATCGCCATGGCTTTCAACGATGCTGTGGCTAGTGGCGAGCTGTCTGCGCCCGTCGTGCTGAGCCGTGACCACCACGACGTCAGCGGCACGGACAGCCCGTTCCGTGAGACGTCGAACGTGACGGACGGCTCGGCGTTCTGCGCCGACATGGCTGTGCAGAACGCGCTGGGTGACGCCGCTCGTGGAGCTACGTGGATCGCACTGCACAACGGCGGCGGTGTCGGCTGGGGTGAGGTAATGAACGGTGGCTTCGGTATGGTGCTGGACGGCTCGCAGGACGCACGCGAGAAGGCGGCGTGCATGCTCGGCTGGGACGTGAACAACGGCGTGGCTCGTCGTGCGTGGGCTCGCAATGCCAACGCACGCTTCGCTATTGAGCGCGAGATGAAGGCGGATCCTTTGGTACGTTGGTGCCGTTTTTTTAAAGATATTTTTCATGATGATAGATACTAATTTGTTTGTCCTTTTGTGATGTACAGCTGACAGTGACACTTGCCAACGAAGCTGACGACGCTAGTGTGCGTGATGCTGTGAGCAAGCTCTTCTAGACGACGAGAATCAAGAAATTTTGGTAGAAAAAGTTGCGTTGCATTTTGTTTTGACAACGGTGTTGGTGCAACTTGGGCAATCGATATACTAAACAAATACACCCACCTTGCCCAACTCACGGAATTGCGCTTGAGTCACTTATTATCACGGTTTGGATATTGCGATGGTTGTTTGCTTGGATGCAAGACCCAGAAGAACTGCCAGCCGAGTCGGTCAGTAGTGCCATCAGTATCGTATAAGGACACTCTCCTTGTTCCACACTGTGGCTGTTAACCACATTGCCGACGTTGCTTTCCAAGTACGCGCGATATCTCCGCCTTGTTGTTCCTCGGGGAGGATATCCTCTTGCCCACATTCATCGTTATTCATAAACCCTTCGAACGAGCCAATCTTGCATTTGGTCAACGCTGTGCTCTCGTGTATTTCTGTTAATGTGCTTCTTGACCCTCCAACAATCGCACAAATTAGAGAGAGCTCTACCATCTTGCGAGTAGAATTCGGTGTTATTTTCACTCGTGCCATTGTCCTCTTTCAGCTCGGCCACAAATGTCCTTGTGACCCTACGCAGATATGTGTCCGAGTGAAATATTTACGATGTACGCCACAGACGACCGTCTTGACTCATGTGCCATGTCTGCGTGGCGCTACGAACAGTGGCCGTGTAATTTGAATAAAGTCCACGACACTCGAGGTTCTTGACCTCCTGCGATCGAGGACTCAACACCGAAGGAGGAGGCGGGACAAACTCTTTTATCTGAGTCCTGGAGTCCTCATCAAAGCGCTCGCTATGCTGATCCAACGCAGGAGTGTAACGTCGAGTCGTTTTTCTTCCAGTTAACTCGCTCGGTGGATCACTTCCAGCGAGGTCGCTACGACAAGAAAGCACAGGGAAGTCCAGTTCATATCGACGCAGTTGATCGCGTAATGGGAACGCGTCCATCCAAACTTTAACATCTTTAAGAGAGTCCAACGACGGCTCAGTGTACAACATTTTCATTGTCGACGCGTATCCGCCGTGGGACCCATGAAAAGCACGTTGTTGGTAGTAAACGGCGTCCAAGACCCGCTCAATCACCATTTGTTCTTCCAAAAACCCACTCATGGCACTTGCGAGCTCCAATTCACCGCCAGGCAGCTCGTTTTCACTGCTGAAGAACACGTAGCCCCATCGTTCAGGCCGATGAATATCGATCACACCCGTCGGAGCCCACACGATGTTATCCTCACGTTTGTCGGATACTTTTTGGAACTGGAGTTGGTTCGTATCTTCGTCCACAACCGTCTGCAGCTCATATTGTACGCGTGAGAAATTGACACGCCATACATCTCCAGCTACTGTTTTACTACTGGTCACGGCAGGCCTCGCTGTCCTACCAGGCCCCGTTGGAGGTCTGGGGGTGGCGATTGACTCAGTCCCAGACTGCAATCTACTGCTCAACGGTTCATCTATATCCTGACGGAAACGCTGCTTGTTAAACTGCTGAAGTTCGACGAGTGACCAACTCATTTCGACACACCAACGCACACACTCAGTCTCGGGAGAATTGGTGACTCCGTCCACGTATACAGCCGACCGAAGTGACACTAGGTTGAATGGGTTTTCAATACTGTATCCATCTTTGTATGGTCGATGTAGCAGCAATTCCCAGATCGTGTTGAGGCAGTTCACTTCCAATTCACTGTACGAAAAATAATATTGTTAGAAAAAAGGTTTTAGTAATAAAAATGTTGGTAGACTTACTAGTAGTGATGCCGACTGCCGTCCGGATTGAAGAAAACTTCAAAGTCGTTCTCATGGTACATGGTGCTGTTCTTTTGCGTGATAGTTCCCCATATTTTGGGCTCGATAAGCTCTGCCCCCACGTATAAAGTGTCGTCGTCGTACATCATTTTGAACCTCGTGAGCGGGAAGTCCTTGGGTTTACGCTCTGGTCCTTCGATGTCTACAAAAGGCTCGGACCACGGCACATGAGCCCATTCCTCCTTGTCCACGCTGCCATTATTAAAAAAAGGGGATTATCATCAAATAAGATACTATATATTAGTGACTTGAAAGCTACCGTCCGTCCAGCTGCATAGGCTCATAGCCACCATCGATGAGATCGGTCTTGCGACGCAGACAGATGTAGACGGGGGGACGCAAGGTGTCCATATACGCCCACTCTTCCCCCGACGCCATGGCTAAAGCGAGGTTCTTTAACCTGTATCCAAAATAATCAGAACCTTTATTTTATGTCCTTTTGGTCTGGGGAGGAAATGTAGCCATGTTACAATTATCTCTTGCCATGGAATCCAGGCTGCTGCTGTTGTCTGCATGCTCTGGTTTGCTGCAAAGAATAAAAAAACTGCCCGTAAGTGTGGCTCCCACTCGTAAGCGGACAAGGAAGAGTTGCGATGCAAATTGCTGGAAACGAATCAGAAAGTAAACGAAGCAGCGTACGCCAACGAGCGGACAAAAGTTGTGAAGGGATGCTTTTTTTCATTACGCCCGATGAATCTGTCGAGTTTGATCTTCCCCCACGAAGCGGAGTTATGTCGATCAACGAGTTTGGCCAGTTTTTCGACCATTTGCAAGTTGTGCGTATTGATGCCTTCAGGTTAATGGTGTCGGTGGCGCAGATGCAAGTTTGTGTGAGAAAGAAACGAAATCTGGTGGTATTGGTAGGAGGCTCCTAGTAGGTGCTGATTTGTAGCATCATCAATCTCTCTTTGAGGTCTAACGAGCGTTTTCAGCACCAAGCAGCTGCCTAGACTCGTAAATCCACTAGCTCTATTCTCTCTCTCCTGTATTGTAATTATTGTGTGTCACTGTTTTTGCTACGGTAAACGTAATACAAGTACGAATTTGGTACCACCAAGTGTCCTTAGCTTAAGAACGAAACCAAATTCTATCGCTGGCAATGGAATGCGCGCACTTAAAGCATTGCTCTCGTCACGCAGCTTGGTTTATCCTACTTGCACGTATTTTCGTCGCAAACATGGCACGTATTACGTTGATGTCAACAATCCTCAGCTCGGCGTGTCAATTCGTTCAGACCCACACCTTTTTCTTCTCCTTACAGTTTTTAAGTTTATTCACAGTTTTGTATACTTAATCAAACTTCCTTTTTTCTGCCGCAATTCAATCACCATTTTCCGATGACCAAAAATCGAAGCGGAGCTCCTCGAATACGTCAGCCGCTACAGACGTCACTCCCCGAAGCGCGCGGCAGCTCTCAAGCGATGGCCTCAACAGCGCCGACGTCTGTGCTGCCTGCCCCTCCGCACTTCACCAAGCGCATTCTCGTCACCGGCGGCGCAGGGTTCATCGGGTCACACGTGGTCATCCACCTGGTGAAGCACTACCCGCAGTACTACATCGTGAACTTGGACTCGCTCGACTACTGCTCGTGTGTGCGCAACGTGCACTCGGCTATCTCATCATGCGGCAGTGAGCACGAGCTGCAGACGCGTGGCGATAACACCGAAGAGGACGAAGTAAAGCGCGAGAAAGCCACAGAGAGCGAGGACGAGGACGACGTCTGTGAGCGTCTCCGTGGAAGCTTTTGCGAGCCTGGAGACGAGTATATCAGCGACGAGTTCCTGGCAACTTTACCGAAAAACTACAAATTCATCCATGGCAACATCACCGGGGCGGATCTGGTGGGATATATCCTCAAGACGGAGCGCATTGACACCATCATGCACTTTGCAGCACAGTCGCATGTGGATAATTCCTTTGGCAACTCGATCGATTTCAGCAAAACCAATATTTTAGGTACACACGTGCTACTGGAGGCGGCCAGACTGTACGGTATTAAGAGGTTTATCCATGTGAGCACGGACGAGGTCTACGGAGAGGGAAGACCCGACTCTGCCCCGATGACAGAGGACCATGTACTGGAGCCTACCAACCCGTACGCAGCCACCAAAGCTGGTGCGGAATTTCTCGTCAAGAGTTTCCACCGTTCGTTCGGTCTCCCCACCATCATAACGAGGAGCAACAACGTGTACGGACCTCATCAGTATCCGGAGAAACTCGTTCCGAAGATCATCAATCAGATTCTACGTGACAGACCAGTGACGATCCACGGCGACGGTATGCACACGCGCAATTATCTCTACATCTCAGACGTCGTGGCTGCATTTGATCTCATTTTACATGAAGGTAAAGTGGGCGAAGTCTACAATATTGGAGGCGAGAACGAGCTTTCCAACAAAGTTGTAGCGATGGATTTGCTGGAAATGATGAAGCCGCAGCTTCTTGGCGCCGAGAAGGCAAAACTGATCACACACGTCCAGGATCGACCGTTTAACGACCACCGATACGTCATTGACTCTGCCAAGATCCGTCGTCTGGGTTGGAACGAGAAAGTGACTTGGTATGAGGGTCTTCGGAAGACCGTCAAGTGGTTCTGTCGCTACGGACATCGCTTCGATAACATCGACCACGCTCTTGAGGCTCACCCGATCAACTTCAAGAAGACATACAAGGTCAACTTACCGTAAGAGCGTCTTCAACGCGAATGAGTATACGCATGCAGCAAAACCATTGACATAAAGTAGAAAACTGCATTGTCATAATATACAGAATTGTTTTCGTAATTATTCGACTAGCGCGAACGAAATCCTTAGTAGTACATTACATGATTGTCTAGCAGCGGTGGAAGTCCAGTTAAACCAGTAAACACACAGTTAAAGGCCATGTTAGTTCGTCCTTGCGCCCGTACTCCATAGTGCGATTGAAACGCCCGAAATCTACCGGCCACACTTATCGCAACTCGAAGTAAGGCAATAAGTTTGAATACGCAAACTCATTTTATTGACTGATTTTCTTAAACTTTTTGTGATGTGGTAGCTGTAGATCCTGCCATATAGGTTTGACTTGTTTTCACTCGGACATCATAAATAAAACGGCATTTTCAGAACATCGAGTGCGATGTTGGTTCTCAGCTCCTGTTGCTGGCGCGTGCATATGAAACACGCTGATTTTTTTTTGTCTCTCCCTCTGCATTCTCGTTGCTGCTCAGTTGTAGCGTGCTCCTCGTCTCCCTGGAATTTCCCTGGGAGGTTCATAATCTCCGTGAGTCTGGACTGGAAATGGTAAATGTCCTCGGCTTTGATGTCCGTGTTGAGGCTGGTGGTGAGCTTGATAAGACTGATGAAGTCGGTGATGGCTATCCCGAGACAGATGCGTGTTAACTGGCAGCTCCGGTGTGCTGCCTGAGGACCAGGAACCCTGCGATAAGTTCGCGTGAGTGGACGAATGGTAGCTCGAGTCCACTGTCCGCGGCGAGAACGACGTCATTAGCGTCATATCCCACTTGTTCTGGTCCAAATGATACCGTCGATGGTGTGCACACCACACACAGTCTGGCGATGAACATTCCACGAACTCCACAAGTGATCGGTTCGGTACAACAACCACTCGCGGAGGTTCGCGCTGTTCCACACGGCGCATAATGTACAGGAAGGCTAGACTCAGGAATAAACCCGGAATGAAGTACTTGATGACACAAAAGGTCGCAAAGCTCAACGAACTCCACGAATCTTTGAGTGCAGAGAAGAAAGTAGGCACGTCCATGATCATCTGGAGCGTCAACGACGCTGTAAGGAGCACCATGAGCAGAGTCATCTGCACCACGGACTTTTTCTTCATATCATCAGCCATAGCAGCCGAGAGCAATCGTTCTCTCAGCTGCACTGCGACGTAACATGCCACTACTGCGTCAAAGGCCAGAGTGACGACGTTAATAATTCGATAAGTTAATTGCAGAGCGTGGGCATCTTCTGGGTAGTCCTCAACCTCACTGGGAGTGCTCAAACCGTGTGCCATCACATGGATCCCCATGAAAATAGTCCAGATTAAGTGCACCGAGTGGAGAAATACTAGTGGATGTAGTACGGTGATTCGCTTGGATCTCTGCAGCTCTTGAGCCGTCACGCGTCCGGCTGTCACGGCGCTGGACCACTGGAAAATCACCGCCGCAGTACACAGCAGTACCATCGAGTTGGCCCACCACATACACGCCATGCCAAAGGCCAGGATGGCCGAGTTACACATTCCCAGCCAGAATACCAGACGCAATAGACACGACAATAACAATACCTACAAAAAAAATCTTATTTGGTTAGTATAAATATATCGTATAAATACTTTTTTTTACTTACGATGTGGAGGAAGATGCGACGCGGGTGTGAACTCCAGTAGATCTGGTGGAACGTGCGCCAGAGGATCACGCCCACCAGCACAGTCTCCAGCAGCATGAGCGGCAGCAGTGGCCAGCTAACGCAGCGCAGCGTCGACGTTGGGTCTAGCCACACCATCCGGTAGTTTCCAAAGTGCTTGAGACCTGAAAAGCAGCGAGTGTCTGCCTGTCTGCCAAAAGGCCCACGCGGTTTTTTTGCGGCTCCCTCTGCGAAGAGAAGACGAGGCCTGGGGACAGCGTTAAGCTTATCTGAAGGCGAGAAATGCTGTGAAAATCGACTGCGAGTTGCTTGGGTGGACTCGACTTGACTGGACTCGGGCGGGTGTGACGACGGTCGTGGAATGGAGCGGCCTCCAGACCGCCGAGTCGTTGGGTCACTCGCTGTATTTCCGGGTTTTTTTAGAGCCAAAGATTGGCTTGTAAGGTGGCTGGCGATTTGCCGTTTCAAAAAGAGAAAAAGGATGCGACAGCTCGCGTGCCCGACTATGAGCATACTTTAATTGAGTGAATGGAGATGGAGTGAGAGTTTACTGGCGACAAGATTGTCGCGGTAGCACTGGCAAACTGCGATTGTCCTTTGGTCTTGTCTTTCCCCTCCTTCTTGCGAGTGCCATCTGCGGGCCGACCAGTTCTCAGTGGCAAAAGCAAGCGAGTTGCGGCGACTTTGAGTGCAGTTACTTACACTCTACGTCCGCCAACCTGGTTTGTCGTTGGTATCTGATAGCTCTACACCGCGTGGGCTAGAGGGCACCGTCTTCGCTTTGTGTCGCACTCATCACCAGCCACTGTTCCAGATTTTTTGCCCTTCCGAATTTGAGAAACATACACAAATGGACAAATTCGGCAAACTGCAAGCTCAGCAAGAACGCGAGACTTCCAGTTTGCTGGGCGAGAACTTGCGAGATGGCGATGCTGCCCCATTGCTGTGATGCTCAGAGACAGTAGAGCGGCGACATGCAGGCAGCATCACTGCGCTGATGCCCCCGCAAAGCTCAAGATAAAGATCAACTCAAAAACTAGCAAAATACTGCTCACAAAATAAAGAAGACCTATATCTTCCTAAGACCTTCATAAACATATATATCTATCATTCGTCTCAAACTTACAACTTTACGATAATTATCACTTCTCACATCCTCTGTGTTTCTATACTACGACCACAACACATATCAAAAACTTCGAACACGTTTTATAGAACTACCCTAAAATAGTCCTCCCAAAAATGTGCACCACACCACTTTAAACTTCAACCGGAACCAAAAATCTGAGTTCGGTGCCATGGATCACCTCCGGCATCATCTCGCGCTCCTCCTGGCCTCCCTCGCTCTCTTGCTAGTCCCCACTGGCGCCCTTGATCGTACACTTCTCGTCCACCTCCACCCGCGTCTCAACCCTCGCGAATTTGCCTTCTCTCCGCAGCTCTCGCGCTCTGAGAGACGTCAAAATGTGTATCAGATCTTCTCTAGCGCCGTTGAAGACGTGCAACGCAGCGTTTCCAGCTTCATCGAAGCCCAGAACGAGGGAGGAGTCGAGATCTCCCGGCTTTGGATGCAAAACACACTGATCATTCGCTATAAAGAGGAAAATCTGCGGCTGAACAGGTTTTTCAGTCAAGATCTTTGGACATTCCCAGGAGTAATGGAAGTGGAGGCAGATACTCGAGTTTTGAGGCTAATTGGAGCTCAACAGGAAGATGATGAGGGACGTAGCGAAGAAAAGCCTCAAAATAATATCAAGTTGCTATATGCCCCTCAATTGTGGGACAATGGAGTGAAAGGGAAGAACGTTGTAGTCGCGAGCATCGACTCAGGCGTACGATACACACACGAGGCCTTGAGAGAGACTTTTAGAGGTACCAGGAAGGACGGAACAGTGGATTTCGACTACTCTTTCTGGTTCACACCAGACACGGACATGTCGAAAGAAACGCCTGATACAGCGGATGAAGTGGGTCATGGGACACACACAATGGGTACAGCCGTCGGTGGCAAGGGAGTTGGTGTCGCTCCTGAAGCCACGTGGATCACTGCAAGAGCGTTTGATATCTGGGGAGCAGCTAACAAGAGCGACTTCTTGTTAGCAGCACAGTGGGTTCTGTGCCCCACAAAGAGAGATGGCACAGCTGCAGACTGCTCTCTTGGCGCAGATGTGATCACGAACTCGTTTGGTGTGGATCGCTCCACTCCCGTATATCCACAGTGGACTTGGCTTAGTAAAGTAATTGATACGTGGCGTGCGGCTGGTGTCTACCCGGTATTTGCCAGTGGGAACACCAATGGATTCCTGTGTGGGAGTGTGTATTATCCTGGAAGCCACGAAGATACAATTACTGTTGGTGCACTGATAGGAGGAAGTTCACTATGGGGTGCAAGTGGAAAAGGACCAAGCTTGGAGGACAAGATAGGATTGGATATATTACCGTCATATACGAGCGGGAAATATATCATTAAGCCTGATTTTGTAGCTCCTGGAGTTGGGATCCGGTCAGCGATGAGTGTCAAGGACAACGCGTACACTCGACTCACTGGAACTTCCATGGCTACTCCGCATGTGGCTGGTGCTATCGCACTACTACTCAGTTTGTATAATCCCTCGGACGAAAATTCGCTGGCTAAGCCTCCATCGTACGAGAAAGTCCTGCAGAGTCTCACTGACACGACCACACGTAAGCTACACAAACCTTTTCTGGTCCCCAGTGAATGTGGCAACACTTCTTATCAAGAATATCCGAACAACATTTACGGCTGGGGTCTGGCGAACGTTTGCTCAGCAGCAAGAAAATTGGGCTTTTCCTGTGACGACTCGGTTACTGCTGCAGAATTTTCTACTAAGGAAAGACAGCCCATTGCGCTCGCTGATCTTGTGGCGACAGAATGATCGATGAGCGTGTGCAATTGGGAATTTTTCATTGAAAAAATTCAGAATATGGATGTTTACATCGGTGTATTTTTTTTTAAAGTATGCAAGGTAGTTTCTAAGAAATCTAACGTGCAAGCTGCGTGATACTTTATCAGTATCAATACACGACGGCGCGCATGTCCTCCACTCCAGGAAGGTTGTACATCATTTTGCCGGCGTCCAAACTGATTGTGATGCCCTCGGATCCATACTGACGCATGTTGTGCTCGTACTGCGCGATGGCATCCACGCCAACTCCCATCTCATAGAAACACTTGACCAGCATCTCAGCATCATGCAACGCAGTGTTGCAGCCGATTCCAGCAGGTGCCATCGTGTGGACAGCGTCGCCAATGAGCGTGACGGTCGATGGCTGCCAATGGCGAATGTCCGGAGACATGGTCGAGATACGTAGGAAAGAACTCCATTCGGGCGATTGGTTTTCGAAGATAGCGCGGATTTGAGGACACCAGTCGCGTGTCATATCGTTCGACAAGTTGGCAACTTCTGTCGGTGTCATGGAGAAAAGATCTTGAACAGTAGTGTCTTCATTCCTGTGGAAATACTGCGCACGAGCGATAAGCACCCAGCAGATGTAGTTCTGTAGATCTGGTAGCTCTGAGTTCGAAATTGCAGCGAACTCCTTGAGGTCTGCTTGGATTTTACAGCGCGGTTCCATCACGAGACTCATCATGGGATCCTTACTGATAACCATAGTAGTGCTCTCTGTTTCGAAGAAGCTTTCAATCTCCGGTGTTAGTAAGGTTTTACCGTAAATGGCGCCACTATCCGTGTCAAGCAGCGTCGCTGCACCAGGCACATACTGTCGACGAACACGCGACGTGGTTCCATCAGCTCCGACAAGTACACTGCCCTCTACAATCTTGCCATTCTCAAACGTGACCTCGACACGTCCGTTCGGTAGTACGTGAAAGCTTTTAAAGGACATTCCGTACTGGATCTCGTCCTCATTAAGATCCGTGAGCAAAAGAGAACGCAGCATTGCTCGATCCGCACTGAAAACGTTCTTGGTAACGTTGGATTTGTGTGAGAATTGGGCATTCGGAGGTGCGTCTCCTCCCGTTTCGGCGTCCAGGTACTTGAAGCCGGGCTGGAAATGACCCGTAGCTCGAAGAAACACCTCGAAGTTTTCAGGTGAGAGGTTGGTTTTTAGTGCTTCGTACCCGTCGTGGTTAATTCGAACGCGATAGCCTTGTGTTCGATAATTTGGCGACGGGTCTCGTTCGAACACAGTGAAAGGGATGCCGTGTTTCTTCAGACCTTGAGCGAGACAGAGTCCACCAATTCCACCACCCACGATAAGTACGTGCGTATGGTAGTCCATTCGGTACGATGGTGTGTATTGAAGACTACCGTACGGCGATGCAAAGCTGTTGTTGCCACCGGAGCGGCCACTGGATCGACCACTTTTGCTCAGACTACTGCTGTCATGCGGACGCGAATCAAGTTCCGGTCCCTGGTAGCCGAAACGCAATCTAATCCAGCGGATCATCTTGCGACGCTTGGATTCGTCGTATTCATTGGCATCGCGAGTCTGCCGCTGGTCATAGTGAGTTGCACGAGTGTGATGATGCCGGTTCCTTCCCATGGTAGGCTACCTGCGCACGATAGGAGATTTTCGATAATGGTGAGCCCATAGATTGTCAAGACGAGTCGCTAGTGCTAGTGCTTTCTGCGTTCTACGGATAGAGTTTCGATGCGGAGACAACGCCACGCAGCAATCATTACAGTACATCAGCAACGCTCGAGGAATTATGGAAATGGAGTTATTTTCCTTTTTAAAGTGAATTGGCACATCTGTCATGGAAGTGAAGTAGGAAGTGGAAGATAAAGCCGGCAAAAGGCACATCTAGGATCAAAGTCCTTGTAACAGCAGAGCCCAAGCGCTGCGCTTAGCGCAGGATGGAACACGAGTTAAGTCAAACGGGTAACGTCAATTTGTGGAAATGAAGCTATGGTCATCTCCAGAAAGCATTTTGATTGGTTGGATTGTAGAAGTCTTGCGCAATGGCTTTGATACAGCGAGACAAAAAGCGCACCCGACTCTTCCAGTAAGGCGAAAAACGAGCATTAGCTCTACCCATGCCTAAACTATTGCGGATATATCCTCGATGAGAATCGAATCACGATAGTAAAATTGACCAAAGTTTATTGATGGCAACTACCCTGCGCCAAGGAATACTCTTTTTGAAACTCGAGGAGAGTGGTAACACTGTATAATTGGAGACGTGATTCAGCTTCATCGCCATCGCAATCTATTTCACTCAGGATCTTTGTGTCATGCGAATCTTGCTAAAATAAAAGAGTATAACACTCGAAATGTATCTTTTTTCCTCTTAACGACAACCTTTCTTCACATTTACGTCATGCTCCAGCCTAACACAAGATATGAAACGTGTTCTAGAACACTTTGATACGCACGACTTGAGAATGACCCATAATGGAGCGATTCTCGCGAGGCATTGAGAGATTCTCAATTAGAATCCTAGACTGGTGTCCTTTTTCTATGATTCCAAACTCTATGACTTGGAGTTTGGGGGGGGGGTCCCGACCCTCTTCCAGATTTATTCTTTAAACTGGAGAGTGAGGATCCTGCGGGAATCGCTCCAATATTGACCAAAATCGTTGAGAAGCATTTTCATAAAGTACTGAACAAAAAAAAAATGAAAAAAGCAAAAATTAGTCTGAGCCACCCGAAAATCTGTGAGTGTATCCGGATATGTGTATCAGCACGAAGCATGCACTGAGATCACATTGATTTCAAGTATATTATGATAACTGGTTTATCCGCCGGAAATGTATTGCGATCAAAAGGAGCAATTGCATTAAAGTTAGATATTGCAATACCCAATTTGAGGGGAATCTGCACTACTCAACTGCAGAACTGATCTACTGAAGTCGTTGCCATCCTCATTCATAAGTGCGTGCCTACGAATTGCATCAGCTCACGATGGGACTGCGCCGTGTAGGACAACTCATCCAGAGGAGGAATAAAATTTGGAAGTACCTCGAGGCATTTGCTGTCCATGTACTGTACACTGCAAAATACTGCTACGTAGTGCATAATGAAGTAGCGAGCGTGGGCGTGGTGTATTACGCTCTATTACAGTTTTGATTGTAGTTAGCTTTTCGAGTGCAATTGAGTATTGCAATCCGTAGGGGCTCATGCAAATTGGCATTGCACTCGAAAAGCTAACTGCAATCTAAACTGCAATAGTTCGTAATCCAAGAAATCGATGCAAATTGATTTTTATCCTTGCCTGGTTTTCAGACATGACTGCAAATTTTCCTTCTATCAACTTACATTGATCCGCACGTACATCGTGATATGGCCACCCTCTGACGCACGAGGTATCCATAACAACAACGATCCCCCACCTGAGCCAGGCAAGCCAAATAAACCTGGACGCCAACGATCGAGGTACATATTCTTGTCATGTAGCTCTGAAATGGTGAACTCCCAAATCACTGTTTCTCCAGCTCCGACATCCACCTTGGCATTATCATCTCCGCCCGAATGAACAACCACTGTCACATACTCCGTGTCAGTGCTCTTAAAAATAAGGCGAACCACTCCATCGCCCACCTTGGTCCATGATCCATAGCTACCTTCAAATGCTTCGTCAACGGTTGTGAGACTCAGCGCATCGTACAATGTACCATCATCGATCTCACCGAGGTACGCAGTAGGACCACAAGTGGGCTGCACAAATTGAGACGCCATGTACGCGATACCTGTGGGATCTACAGCAGACAGAGCCACCAGACCCATGTTGCTGATCTCAAGCATGTATTCGTCTTCGGCGACTGACGCGCCCATGTCCGTGCTGGCCTTCTCGATCAACTGGTCGACGATCACCCCAAACGTTTTTCGAAGTAAATCCCGCGTCTCGTAGGCGGCTGACATCGTTTTAGAGGCCAGAAGCTCGCCCATACAATTGTTGGTGACTCTAGGGATGTCGTTCAACACAATGGTTGATGAGTACACCGTGACTCTGATATCGTTGACTGCGGCGTCTGGCGTATTGTTGCGAACGTCATTGACTGTGTACACAACTCGGTCTGTAAGACGCTTCAACTCCCATCCGCAACTGGAATTCTTGTCAATGAGACCTTGGAGCTCGTCAACTGTAGTTGACGAACTGTTTATTGCGCCGCTACCCGTGAGTAAATTGAGGGCATTTTCCCCCGAAGAAAGAATTTTATCTCCGTTCGTGATAGCTTGCTTGACAATGCCTTCTACAGTGGCGAGTACTATTTTCGCGTATTTTGTTTTCTTTGGAACAGGTAATCCGAAACAAACACACACCGCCACAGGTAGATCAATGAGAACAACGTCAGATTGGTACGCCATTATAAGGAGCTGTTCCGTGTCTCCTTGAGGGGCTGTGGTTTGCTGGTATCGAAGGAAATAGATGAGGCTCCTCACGACTGAGACGATGTTCGCAGCGCACTTTATCGCCTGCGTCGTAGCCTTGGCTAGAGCCAGCATTTCTCCGAACACGTTTGCCGTTGCAAGATTGAACGCCACGACGACGACAGACCCAATTTTCGTCATAATTTCTAACGCGCAGTCGTCATTTTGAGGAATACATTCCGCGTAGCACCTCACAGGATACGATAATGGACATTCAGCCAAGCAATCGTCACCGTCGTTGCCGTACCCCAGAGGACAAACGCTACCGCTACCAAACCCAACTGATTTTCGATAGCATGCTGTATCACTAGGACTTGCAACATTGGGTCCTACCCAGTTACGGATAGATATTCCAGTCGTATCATTACCACCGACAGGCATGTCCGTTAATTCGAGATCCTTCGCTCCAATTCGTGTCCAAATGACGCCGAGTTGGTCAATTTCCGATTCAGAACGACCGTGGAAGCCACTCAATTGAAACCCTTCAGGAGCTGTCACAACCATTTTATCATCTGTAGTCCCTCCACCAGAGATGGAGTGACCGGCGTTAGTTGTGAAGTTTAGATGAAAAATCCGTGTGTGGTCATTTTTCTTCCCCCAGTGTGCCTCCATCGACGTGATGTACTCTCCTGGAGCTAGAGTGAGTGTGTGTTCTTCTCCACCATTTCCACCGTGAGAGAACATGGCATCCTTTGGCGATGAAATTCCCAGCGATATTCCATGACATCGATCTCCCGTACGCAGCGTAATAGTACTAACGGTTTGACTCAGTTTGATCGAGTTAATGTCGGAAAATGCGATACCGTGTGGACCGCCAAAGACGTCGCTAAGCTGGATATCTTCATCAGCACTGAGAGCAGATACGGGGACCTCCTCTACAACCTCAATACTCGACCAGACCACACCAATCAGGTCAATTTCGTCTCCGTCTCGACCAAAGAATCCACCCAATTGATAACCTTCAGGGGCCGACACAATGCTCATCGTGTCCGTCTTCGTTCCTCCAGAAACTTTAATTCCAAAATTCGTCTCAAAACTGAGATAGAAAATGCGTGTGTGATCATCTTTCTTTCCCCAGTGAGCCTCCATTGACGTGATATATTCGCCCTCACGAAGTGTAAGAGTCTTGTAGTTTCCGCCTTCCCCGCCGTGAGCAAATGATTTGGCAACAGGCTCCGCAATTTGGAGCTCAAGGCCGTGGCAACGATCTCCAACGTGAAGCGTAAGTGACTTCACTTTTTGTCCTGACTTCACGGACGACAGATCAGAAAATTGGTCGCCATGAGGTCCACCAAAACTTCCACTTAGCTGTGTCGCTCTCTTTGTCACCGTTGTAGAGCCTGGCGGTTTTGTCGCTGGGTCTTGTACGTCCGCAGGGGCTACTGTGCCGGGTAAGTCGACTACTGGTGCTGGTGTAACAGCCTCGATCCTAGTCCAGATTGCACCGAGGAGATCGAGTTCATCGCCTTGTCGACCAAAGAAACCTCCTAATTGAAATCCCTCTGGTGCGGTAACGGTGCTCTTACTGTCTGTCATCGACCCTCCAGACACTGATTTCCCAGTGTTTGTACCGAAATTCAAGTAGAAGATGCGAGTGTGGCCGTCGTGCTTATCCCACTGCGCCTCCATCGATGTGATGTACTCTCCTGCATTGAGCGTCAATGTGTTAAGATCTCCGCCGGGTCCGCCATGCGTGAAAGTTTGCGCTACGGGTGCGGTGACTTGGAGCTCGAGTCCATGACATCGCTCTCCGACATGTAAAGTGATAGACCCGATAATTTGTCCAGCCGATACGCCGTTTTCGTCAGAAAAATCGTCTCCGTGAGGGCCACCGAAGCTCTCGCTCAACTGAATGTCAGACGAATCGGAAGACACGAAGAAAACGTTCAAAACGAGAAAGTAGGTGACAGCATGAATTGCCTGTATCGCCATCCTCGACATCATTCGGAAACTAGACGTTGCCGTAGTATAACGTGCCGTAGCGAGTTAAATTATGCAATGGGTTATTGTGCATCTGGTGACCTGTTGGCGTGCACTCGTAGTTTGAGCTAATACGATGAGACGGGTTCATAACACTGGTGCGTTCATAAACTTCCCGAGCGTAAACCTTCCATGAACAACATTAAGAACACTTACGAATTATCATGTAGCGTAATGCTACGTTCAATATAAAACATTGGTTACATGTGTGTTGATTGAACCATTAACAACTACCAAATCCCACTACAAGACATGCCAGTTGGAATGCGAAGAAAGGCTGTTTCCTATCCAACAAACCGGCAGATCACGGTGGGTTTATTGTACACAAATCGTACCATAAACGCTTGCTACAAACTTCTCTTCGACTATGGATATCGGACAAATTTATGAGATTACCGGAGTTTCGCTTTGCTGAATATTATCTGTGTTTGTATCACAAGCCGTGTTGTAAACGATGGCCACTTCGAATTTCTGAAAATAAAAAAAATGACGGCAGTGCTCTAGTCGTCGGACTCTAAAGCAACGTATTGCAGCAACTCACGAATGCCGTTGCCGTGGCGGATACTGCTGCGGCCTGGTGTCGACAACGCATTGGCGGCACTGGCCAAAAGTTGACTCTCACAGAGCTCGAGGGCTGAGTCTGCACTCGAATAGAAGCTCTCCTCGCTCGTGATTTTGTTTTTGACCAACACGCTCTTGACCGAGAGCAGCGTACCAGCGTACACGATGGTGATGCCGTGGTTGTTGCAGTACTTCTGCAGGATCAGGAATGCGCTGCGTGCGGCGGTCGCGTCTATCGCCGCGACGTTCGTGAAGTCCATGACGACGTACTCGGTCGGAACTGCAGCAGGGTCGGTAGCAGGAGTTCCATCTAGACACTCGACCAAGGGTATCCGAAGTTCATTAGGATCCTAGGGCATACCCATACAGTCAGCCTCTACATATCCAGCGATACCCGGTAGTTTCCTACGCACATAGACTGTCTTCTGGACAATGTCAAGGATCTGTACGGACGAACCGAAGAACAGAAAGCCGCTCAGCTCAAAGTACGCGATCGCATCTTGCTTCTGGTCCAACACTCTGCGCTCCAAGAGAGTGCGTGTCGCACCGGACGCACGAGGCTTCCGACTTACAACAGGCAGTCGGATATAGTCCAGCAGGAAGTTGACGATAGCAATGCCCACACCAATGAGCATGCCTTCGTCCAGCGCCACAATGTTCACAGCAACGAATGTCATCCACAGTACCGCATACTCACGCAACGACATCTTCTTGAATGAAAGAATGAGCCACTCGATCATGAGGTCGATGGCGATGAAGATCAACGTGGCGGCGAAGAAGAAGCGAGGCACGTAACTCATGACAGATACAGGTGCCAGGACGATAGCGAACTCGGAAATGATCACGCACACACCAACAATGCGCGAGTTGGTCTTGGAACGGTACGTGAAGATGGTCTGCGAGAAGATGTAGGAGCCCGTGTATCCTCCCAATAAGCCACTCACGACGTTGGACCAGCCGACGGTCGTGAGTTCGTGATTGAAGTCTAGTTTGATGCCCATGTCGAGCTCGATAGCGGCGATATCCAAACAAGACGAGAACGCGACGATGAAGACCATACCGATCCACGTGCCAAACTGCTTGGGTAGTTGTTCCCAGTGAACCTCATTGAAGTCGAAGAGGTCGAGTAGCTCAGAGACGGTGGCGGGGTCTTTGGCCGGGTCAATCCAGCCTCCATCTCGTGCGTCGTCCATGGAAATCCCGCCCACCAACATGATGAAGAAGAAGACGATGGGCATAATCATGATCGCAGCAGACAGGATGAGCGAGTTGTCGTAACGCTGCGAAACAACCAGCAGGAAAGCACCGCCAAGGACACCCGGGACACACAACAGAACGTTGTGGGCATTGCCGAAGACGCTGATCATGGACTCCATATCGTTCACGACGAGACCCGTACACAACGCGAGACCAGCGTACAAGCAGAAGATGCCGATGAAGGCCAAGTAGCCACCGATCACGGGCATCGGCAGGTACGACGCGAGTGCAGCAAGCTTCAGTTTACCCATGACCACAAGACACACACCGAGGGATGCAGTAGCAATACCGATGATGATGATAGAAGTGGTCACTTTGGCCTCCAGCGGCACGTCGTTGCCCAGAGAGTCACAGATCGAAGTGGACATGGCACTGAGAAAGATGAGACCGGCATCTTGCACCTGTCCGATGGAGAACGGCAGCGAGCTCATGAGCGTGAACATGACCTGATGCACAACACTGGAGAAGATGACCAGCTTTGATAGCGCCGGCATGAAGTCCACGAAGTCTTTGTGACTGAAGAGAATAACGGCGTATCCGTACATGGTGGGGATGGTCAGGATGGAGTTGATAGTGCCGTACATGACCGCGTTAGTGATGCGAGCCACATTCTGCGGGCCACCCTTGGGCGGATCCGATGACACCTTACCGTTGTTCTGCAGCAGCTCGTGCGGCGGATTCTCGAAGTTTGTTTCTCGGGGCTTCTCGCTCGTAATGGAGACGACCGATAATTGCGATAGGCGGGAGGTTTGACTGTTGCTACGCTCCATGCTCCGCTGTTATTCAGTCGATGCGAAAGTATTGCACGATTAGCTGGTGGACAGCAAAAAGTAAAGTAAGCGATAGCTTGGGGTGCATATTCCCAACGTTAAGTGAGTTTTGGCTGCACTGGTAACTACTATCAATAGATTGAGTTCATTTGACTTGCCACACAACCTCCGCTTTGCTATCTATTTCTTTGACGCTGCGACTTGCTCTATAAAAGTCCACCGAATAAGCTGACCATTATTCACTCTATCTGGATAGCGACATCGTGCGACTTTGCACTGTCGTGGCTTGTGACGCAGCTGAGTGACATTGCCACGGCCAAGGATGAAGTTGTAATGATGTGGGTCAGGTCCAACCTTGCAATGGGTTCAACGACAGGCTACCGTTGCTCTGAAGGGCAAGTGCGACGGATCTTCGAGGTTTTTTTTAGCCTTCATGCGCTGGGATAGTTGGGAAATTGCCAAGGTCCACAGACTTTATCGTTGAGCGAGCAGCAGCAAGACCATCGTAGACAAATCGTTGGTGTTGCATACGAAACACTGGCCTGTATCCACCCCATTGAATCGTATTACTCGCAGGGATTATCGATTTTTTTTTTCTCATTTGGAATAAGAATCGGAAATAAATAGCGCTCACACATCGTACCTTATCACAACATTTTTTGTCCTAGAAAAAAGGGCCAACACTCGCTTAAGTACGATATAGTTTGGCCGATTTTGTGGGAGAAATCAGACAACACTGAATAATATTCAGTGAATATCATCCGACGATAGTAAAAGAGGAATCACAGCACCAGAAACAAAAAGACAACACTTCTTTTGATAGGCTAATAATAAGCTCTAAAAACAAAACCGCACAGAAAACATGTGACTGTGAAAAAAAAGTTTCTATTCAGACTGTTACTTCCGGATACTTCGGAATAACCTTTTTGAAGCTACGAATTATCTTTTTCGTTTTAAGAGCGTTCCAAGCCGCGATCGTAGATTTAATAACACGCAGGTGCGTTTCCTTAGCGGTCCCACCAGTGCATCTACCAGAACTGTTTCGTATTTTTGCTTTTATTTAGTGGTCCCATCACTCCCACATCTAGCGGCTGACATACAGCAGTGCTATTTGGGGGCAATGGAACCAAAGTAGCATTGGCGTCTTCAGCCACAACCCGCTGCCCTTCTTCTGATACGTGACATTCGAAGTTGTCAACCAGAAGGACCGTGGGGGGGGGGGCATTTCAAATTTTAAAAGTTTTTCAACATGGAACTTCCAGACGTTGGTGTCCATCGTTGCATTCTCCTGCATAGCATAGAAGTGGCCTTCCTGCTCAATGCGGTCACCAGGGACACCGCGGATAGCAAAAATAATCGGCATTTTCTTTCCTAAAAGAATATTTGTTAGAAAAAAATTAAACTAAACACGAGTTTAAAAAAAGCACACCATTATCGCGAATGGTTAGCACCCAGAATTCGCGCGGAGTCCTTTCGCCTTTGCCTGCCCACGCCTTTATTGGCGGCATGTCGAATAGTATGGCAGTTTCGTTGACGTTTAGAATTTCCCCCGCCTTCAAAGGCTCTATACTTTGACCAAAACTCCAACGAAAACTTTGCGCGAGTCTCTTCGAGGTTTTTTTT